ATATAAGAAAATGTTTTTGATGTTTGTCATCTTCCAAACGTCACACATGTAGAGATTTAGGCAATAACATGAGATTACAATAATTTGTAACAAGATATAGCGTTTGTTCCTTTTGGTTATATATACCTTCTTAAAGTGTGCAATCTGTAGATAGTAGGAAGGGTTTTAAACAATTGACACTTGCTTGTCTATTGGTTTAAATGAACTATTCATTAAAAATGAGATAGGGGTGTGGTGCCAGGGGGGGGGGGGGGGGGGGGGGGGGGGGGAGGACCACAACACATTTAAGAAGTTGCTGGGTTGATTTACTAAGGCAGGGGTAGGTAACCTGAGAGCCGCAGGACTACAAGTTCCATAATGCCTCTGCAAGTCATAGCTGTAACTGTCAGTTTTGTAATTTTTGCAACGCCTAATGGGAAATGTAGTTCCACAACAGCTAGGGAGCCACAGGTTGCCTACCCCTGTACTAAGGGAATAGAGGCTGTTCACCCACATAGTAAAGTGAATCTGAAGGGTCAAGTTAAAATGAAGAGCTTATCTCACTGTGTCCTTTCCACTACATACCACGGTATTACGCCACACTGCAGTATGCATTTCACATCCCATTCATTAAATACAGGTGACTTTTGTAAAAACCTGGGCTTTCTTAGGCTACGTTCACACTAGCCTTGTGTGCAGGCGGCAGAGAGGCGTTTGGGAAGCGTTTTTACGCTTCCCAAACGCCTCTGCCAACTCTGCACATTACAGCACATGGTGCTGTTCTAACAGGAGCGTTTGCGTCGCGTCGCGTTGCGTCGCAGCAAAACGGACGCCTCTGGTCGAGTCAGGAGGCTTTGAAGCCTCCTATTCTCGTCTATGGTGCCGCTCCGCAAACGCCCGGCCGGCGTTTGCGGTGCGGTTGCGACGCGGTTGCGGGGCGTTTGCGGAGCGGTAACACCACTCAAATGCATTATAGGCGTTTGTGGGGCGTTATTAACGCTCGGCAAACGCCTAGCAACCTCCGCTAAACCGCGCGGGCGTTTGCGGAGCGTTTGCCGAGCGTTAAAAACGCTCCGCAAACACCGGACCAACGCTTGCCAAACGCTATAGGGGCGTTTGGCAAGCGTTGGCAAAACAGCCTAGTGTGAACGAGCCCTTATGTAGTTGAATAGTGCTGTAGAGAGAACTCTGTGATTGGAGGAAAGGCCAGTCTCTTGATTTTGACATGTCATGTGACCAGACTGCCCTTCTCTGCCTAAGAAGCAGAGCACAATGCATATTTGTAAAGCACATCATTGTGTTTACTAGATCTAATGCAGACAGGAGCTTGAGGTCAAATAACACAAATTGTGGGCATATTTCTGTACTATAGATATACATTTGTGATAGCCATAATGATGACTATAGCTCCTTTCACTGCCACTCATTAGACCTGTATGCCCCTGGACACAGACTATCTGCGTCCAGGATTGCACACCCTTGCTGTTGCATGGATTTGTGCACGTAGTGGTGCAAACTCACATACAACATACTGTCATATATTACCGTGATCAGCTGTACATGACAGGTGTGGATCCTGAGCATGGAAGTACACCCGCAATTTACTTTATATGGCCTGTGTGTGTTTCGTGTTTTTTTTTTCTTTGAAAATGTAAACGTGTCCAAGTAAAAAAATGTAAACGTGTCCAAGTAAAAAAATGTAAACGTGTCCAAGTAAAAAAATGTAAACGTGTCCAAGTAAAAAAATGTAAACGTGTCCAAGTAAAAAAATGTAAACGTGTCCAAGTCCAAGTAAAAAAATGTAAACGTGTCCAAGTAAAAAAATGTAAACGTGTCCAAGTAAAAAAATGTAAACGTGTCCAAGTAAAAAAATGTAAACCCGTCCAAGTAAAAAAAAAAAAAAAAAAAAAAAAGATTTTTTTTCAGCCTGAATACAGCTTCACCTTATTCACTAGTCCAGTCAATTAGAAGCCTGTCTAACGGGCATGCTGGAATAGTAGCCAATGACTGCAAGCACTGATCAGTGTTCTCTGGTTGGGGGAGAATCCCCCTCTTAGAATTAAAGGTCTCACTGGAAAACATCCCTGCATCAACATCGCTTGTGTTGATGCTGAAATCTGTCCATTTTTTTTTTTTTGTTTTTGTTTGTTTTTTTGGGGTTTTTTTTCCAAAATAAATTTTTTGTTTTGTATTTTTTGTGCAACTCACTGGATAAACAGAAAAAATTCTGTGTACACCTGGCTTTACATTCTTTTATAGCATAGTGAACAACCTGTTTTCATTTTGCAAATCAACTTCAGTGTTTCAGCTTACGAAAATAACATCTGAACTTGAAATATCTGTTTTTTTGTGGAATTGGCATTTACAGGTGAGATTCTAAGGTGAATAAATAGCCTTAATAGGGCAACTTAAAGTTTATGTATAGCCCAAACTTTATTTAGTTTTGGATAGTGGTGCACCGAAATGAAAATTCTGGTGTCTAAAACCGAAAATGTGTTTTTTTTTTAAATTTATTACAAAAATAACTTTTATTTAATTAATGTGGTTGGCAATTTTACATTGAAGTCATTAGGGGGCGTTTTTGCATTGAAGTCTATGTGGACTCGACTGCATGAAAGTCTATGAGATGCGACTTTGCATGAAAGTCTGTGAGACGCGATGTTGCATTGAAGTCGCTAGAGGGCGACTTTGCATGAAAGTCGATGAGACGCGACTTTGCATGAATGTCTATGAGTCGCGACTTTGCATGTATTGGCGCCATTATCGGCACCTTTTTTCTTATATGCCAATAGCGCTAGTTTCTTCCGCCAATATATCGGTGCATCCCTAGTTTTGGATACCCGAGTGAAGAGGTACAACTAGGGGTTGCACCAAACTTTCGGTGGCCAAAGTGTTTTGACCGAAAACACCCCTATCAACCTTTGGCCGATATTAAAATAAGTACCGATACAGGTGCCAAAAACAACACTGCCCCCCACTGTCCCCCTCTTGCCTCAATGGTTCTCGGCCTTACATGAGAAACCATCAAACAATCCGGGGGGGGGCATTGACTCATAAGTACTGAAACTAGAGGAGCAACATTATGACCAGGGGACTAGAATTTCACCAAGCGGTCAGCAAGAGCATCCCATACAATTCTTCTGATGCAATTGTCCTAAGAATGGTTGTAAACCCTTACATGTACCCAGTGAAGTGACTGGCCTCAGGTGATACACAGAAATGACACAAATCATCCTACATAAGTTGTACTTGTCTATCTGCAGTCTTCTCTTCGTTACAACCATTCAAAGTGCTACACTTATAAAGTGTGTCTGAGAGTTCAGAGAAAAGGGGATGGGGAGTTGAAGTTACACTTTGCAGAGCTCAGTGAGGAGAGTTCTGAGAGCTGATTGGAGGGAAGATACACACCCCCTCCACACAGCTCACAGAAACAGAGCCAAGGCTGTCAATCTGCTGGAGGTCCCTCCCGTCACCATTTTTCTCTTGGTGTCACGAAAACTTGCCAGACTTTTGGTCCAAACAAAAAAAGTTTTTTAAAGCTTCAAGTGGAAGAGCTTTTAAGATCTCTGAAGACACTTGTTATCTGTTTCTGAAGCTGGAAAGGCTCCTGACATTACAATTAGCTGATTTTGTAAACAAGAACCCTTGACTAATATGTTGTCTGTGTTGCCTTCATTAAAGTGGCTCTCCACCCAAAAGGGGAAGTTCGCTTTAAGGCCTCGTCCCCCGCTCCCTGTTAAGGATTGGCATCTTTGAGGAGCGGGGGGATTTTGACAGGTACCCGTTCCCACTTCTGCTGCGATCACCTAGGTCAGTGGTCTCCAAACTGCGGCCCAGGGGCCGGATGAGGCCCTTTGCTTTACTTTATCCGGCCCTTGGGACACTATTTTTTCCTATTGATATGAGACACAATTCTGCCAACTGACATCAACTATGGGGCACAATATCTCCCACTGATACCAATAATGGGGCACTCTTCCTCCCAATGATACCAATTATGGGGCACAATTCCTCTCCTTTATACCAATGTGGCAGTGTTTACTACCACCAATTCCAGGAAAATTTCCACTCCCACTGGCTACAGTCTGGACCCCCTAAAGTCTGAAGGACAATAAACTGGCCCTTTGTTTAGAGAAAGTTTGGTGACCCCTGGCTTAGGTTTTCGGAAGTTCTCCTCCACATCCCCAAACCCCCCGCTCCATCTAGGACAAATGACCGGTCCCAGAAGACTGCAGGACCATTCACAAGGCTCCGCTTTAAGATCATTGGAAGTCATTTTATTATTATTATTATTATACAGTATTTATAAAGCGCCACTAGTTCGCTCAGCGCTGTACATTACAGAGGGGGACAGAACATGTGACAGAACAATACCAATACAATGCAAAACATGAGGGGATCGAGGGCCCTGCTGTTTCGAGCTTACAATCTAGGAATTTGAAGCTATTTCATGTCTATGTTCACCCCCATCATTGACTGTTGTGATTTGTACAGGAATTGGTCTTTCACAGCTCCTATGCAATTCAGTAAGGTTCACCGATTTTCAGAAATTGCATTGTGGATATGTTAATGGTTCAATCCAGATGCAGACAGGGCTTAATGTAGTTCTTTAAAAGCCCTGGTTAAATATTTATCCCATAATCACTTGAACAGTCTTAAAATAAGCATACTGTGCCAAGACTCTGTGTTCAGGCTTGTTTGCAGGCATTCTGGCTTTTGTTCCCTTCAAAATAATTATGCTCGCTTAGAGCAAATGTGGAAATGTTTCCCCACTGCTGGGCACTCTGAGCTTTCCTAAGCTGGCAGTACTGTTGGGCACATCTGTCTCCTTTACAGTGCTGCAAAGTGCGTTATGGGGCTTATCTAGCCGAGTTATAGCAGAACAGTGTAAAGCCAGAGTTTTATTTATCTGGTTTTTGTGTCCTGTAGTTGGGGTATCACTGTATTGCTAATGTTGTGTCTGTACACTTTTAATTCTGATCTTTCATTTTTTCATTACCCAATCAGGTCAGCTAGTCACCATGTTTGCTAAGAAGAAGAAGCGTATAGAGATCTCGGCCCCCTCTAATTTCGAGCATCGTGTACACACTGGTTTCGATGAGCAGGAACAGAAATTTACTGGGCTTCCACGACAATGGCAGAGTCTGATCGAGGAGTCAGCCAAAAGACCCAAACCCTTAGTAGACCCAGCATGCATCACAGCCATCAATCGTGGTCCACAAAAGGTGTGTATATACTAAAGGGTTGCCCTCCTGGGTCTTGGACTGTACCACTAAAAAGCATTTTTTTGTATATTTTCAGGAGATATAATAGTGTACAGCTTCTAATTTTTCAATTAACGAATTACTGAATTTTAAAAGCCTTACTGAATATTGTGTCACCAAATGCCTAGACATTAGTGATTTATTTTGACCAGAATAGTTTCATCATCTTATGGTTATGTTTGGTAAAAGAGTTCAGGTTTACCAGACTTCACTAGCTATATGATTGTTACTGAATCACTAGGTATGGAAGCTTTGGTCCAATGATAGCCCAGGAGCCCAAAACATTGAAAAACAGGTATTGGTAGCGCCCAGATTTTTCCTTTAAGGTGAGATCATGTGATCAAATGCCTCCCCATTTGGTCATGTGAGTAACCCCCAGAGGAGACCAGTGCTTTTCTCTCCTATCTCCCCTTATCTTTATATTAAAGTAGAACTATGGGAAAACTTTTTTTTTTTTTTTCATTTTAGATAGAGTAAGTTTATTACCCTTGTCAGTTTATTTTTAGCCCTCTTTGACCCAATGGGGACATTTACCGTCACTTCCTTTCCCATAGCCAATATAGGAAGTGAGAGAAAATCCCTGCAAATTAAGGGAATCTCTTGGGGTTCCCCAAGTCAACAGAACTAGTGTCCACATTTGAAGATTTCCCCTCTATTACCTTTCTGGGGACAAGCCAAATTTTGGGATTTTTCTTTTACTTTCACTTTCAATGATAATGGTAAACAGGACAAATAGAGAGGGGGATCTCCCTAACCAGGGCACAAACAGCAATAAAAACTGACAGGTGTTCTAATTCATCTCCACTTTTTCCAAAACAAAACAAAAAAAGTTTTTGCTGGGCTGCACGGCAGATGTGGAATATCTTATTTTATATATGTAGAATTAAGTACTTTTGTACACTATATTGCCAAAAGTATTGGGACACCCCTCCAAATCATTGGATTCAGGTGTTCCAATGTTTTACCTCCATGGCTGCAGGTTTATAAAATCAAGCAACTAGGCATGCAGACTGATTCTACAAACCTTTTTCGAAAGAATGGAGCTCAGTGAATTCAGGCATGGTATCGTGATAGGTTGCCACCTGTGCAATAAGTCCATCCGTGAAATTTCCTTCCTACTAAATATTCCACGGCCAACTGTTAGTGGTATTATAACAAGTGCATAGAGAGCTTCATGGAATGGGTTTCCATGGCTGAGCAGCTGCATCCAAGCCTTACATCACCAAGTTCAATGCAAAGCGTTGGATGCAATGATGTAGAGCAAGCTGCCACTGGACTCTAGAGCAGTGGAGACATGTTCTCTGGAGAACCACGCTTCCCTGTCTGGCAGTCTGATGGATGTGTCTGGGTTTGGCAGTTGCCAGGAGAACGGTACTTGCCTGACTGCATTGTGCCAAGTGTAAAGTTTGGTGGAGGGTTGATTATGGTGTGGGGTTGTTTTTCAGGGGTCAGGCTTGGCCCCTTAGTCCCAGTGAAGGGAACTCTTAAGGCGTCAGCATACCAAGACATTTTGCCAATTTCATGCTCTCAAATTTGTGGGAAGAGTTTGGGGATGGCCCCTTCCTTTTCCAACAACATGACTGCACATCAGTGTACAAAGCAAGGTCCATAAAGACATATATTCGTGAGTTTGGGGTGGAGGAACTTGACTGGCCTGCCCTCAACCCGATATATTGCCTTTGCAATGAATTAGAGCGGAGACTGTGAGCCAGGACTTCTCATCCGACATCAGTGCCTGACCTCACAAATGCGCTTCTGGAAGAATGGTCAAACATTCCCATAGACACACTCCTAAACCTTGTGGACAGCATTCCCAGGGCCAGCTCAATATTGATCTCTATGGACTAAGACTGGGATGCCATTAAAGTTCATGTGCCTGTAAAGGCAGGCGTCCCAATACTTTTGGCAATAGAGTGTATGTCTGTGAAATGTTCAGTAGCACTTACACATGGATGTTTTAAGCAAGCACTATGTAGAAAAAACTAGTCTGTAAAAAAAGGTTCAGTACATTTTTTTTTCTAGTTGATTTTGTTCTATGTGAATTACCATCACTCTCTGTGGTGGAATCTTATTTAACTTATATATACTTTTTCAAGGGTGTCTGATCTGTAATTTCTGCCCCCCCAGACTATCGTACGTGGGAACAAGCTGTCGCGAGATGGCTCCTTGGCATGGCTGCTGGATGAGTTTGAGATGATGTCAGTGTGTCGCTCTAACTCCTTACGCAGAGAGTCTCCTCCTTGCCCACCTAGAGAACCGCGTACTCCTGTGGAAAATGGTGTGACTGACGGCCGTATGAGACAACCACGTGACAATGGCGGAAGACTACCAGAAAGGAGCAGGACAGAGCATGGAAGGGATAGGCCAAGGGAAGAACAGAAACCTGCTCCGCAGCAACCTCGGGGACAGGAACCAAGCATCAAACACAGGCCTCCACCACCTGACTATCCTAAGCCTTCAGAGAACAGATCTGTCCGCCATAATGAGAGGATGGATGGAAAGCGAGATCGCCACAAAGTGGCAGATGGTGACTATAGTGAACCAGCAGATAGGGTGGTCAGGAGAGAAAAAGAAGAAAGAAGGCCAAAATCCGCTTACACTGGAGGAGGACAGAGTAGCCCTCAGTCACCTAGGGACAAAAGACCACTCTCCGGGCCCAGTATGCATACCCCAAATAACCAGTCTCCTGAGGGAATGGGGAAGCCAACACAACAGGCAGCAAGGCCTTTTAACACTTATCCGCGTGCAGACACTGACCCAAACAGGTCATCACAGCAGGTGAGTGGGTTTTACTTAGGAGGGTGTTCCTAAAATTGTAAAGCATGCCAGCCTGGGTAATTACTTTGGGGCTGCAGTGCATTTATCTTTCTTTCTTTTTTTTTTGATTCCGCTAAAGTTGACCTCCAGGAATGATCTGTATTACCTACTTAAATTGGTCGAGCTTGGCACAAGGTAAGTATGGATTTGGTGCAATGTAAGTATAAATATCTTATGCCTGTTGGGCTGTTGATAAAGCTGAAAATCACTGTAGTAGTCAGCACTACCAAATTGAAAGCTGCAATCTCTTGGGTTCTACTGGGGTTATGTGCCAGCAGATTGCCCTCTACCTATAAACCACAGGGTCTCTTGCTTGGCACTGCAGTTATTCATAGAACATTTTGGGTTTTTGTTTTTTTTAATGAATGCAATGAACACAACACTGTTCTCTGATTAGACAAGGTGAAAATCTTGATGTTGCCACCCCTCCTCTCCACCTCGTTCAATCAGGAAACATCTTGCATTGATTCAAAGATATACAAGGTATCCTATGAATGGTGCCAGTGCCGAGCAGGTGACCCCCTGTGATCAGTATGCAGACAGGAATCTTCTTGCACAGAACCCCAGCAGGACCTGCAAGACTGTAGCTAGTAGTAGCTATGACTGTTACAGTGATTTTCAGATTTCCCAGCGAAGCAACAGATATGAGCTAAGCATACTTACATTGTGCTAGGTTGCAATACAGATGATTCCTAGAGTTCAGCTTTAATAGTTGTAAAGTTATGTGTGATTTCATTTGTTAAAACGTTTGTTACTGGAGCTCAGAAAATCTAGGAACCATGTTGAGTTATGTTAAGGAAGCATTACTTTTTTTTAAATATAACTGTCCTAAAACCATTATAATTTCTCTGTAAAGTGTATAGCCAAAGCTTTGTCTTTTAGTTTTGAATAGAGTAGGGTAATTTAGAAGAGTGGTCACTGTGATACACCTGCTGTTACCTTTCCAAAGCTGGCCATACACTGATTGCATTTTGCCTTTTTTTGACAAATGGGCCAGAATTCAAGCAGGCCCTGTTTTCACCCTACTGCCTAACATGCTTTGATCTCAGAATTGAAGGAGATGGGAATATTATTCATGGCTGAACAGTGACTTTAGTCAATCAGCTACAGCCACTGTTTGGCAGCACCCACTGTATTCTGATAGTCGCCGAGGCTGGATGTGAGAATACAATGCTCTCAGTGGGGGATTTGTCTGTCTGCGATGTTTAAAGTGGATGGAGAAATCTGTTACATTTTTTTTTCCTCATTCAGCCCATAGGCTGAACAAAAAAATATTTTCGGGTATGGCCAGCTTTACGTCAGCCATACATGGAAAGAAACTTGGTTGGTCCAGCAGGGACCGGACATATTTCGGTCCGTATATGGGCAGGCTGGTTGTACACAAGTCTCTATCGATCTATTGATCAACTAATGTACAACCAGCTTGTTGGGTTTTTCCCAATTGATCATTACCACTGGCTATAGCTAGCAACAGTGATCACTGCATTTTAGTAGCTCCCCACTGTCAGAATACAAAGATCCCCCCTCCCCCCATTTAATTATTTAGTTGTAAATAGAAAGTGGAATTGTGTTTTTCATATCTGTCTAGAGTTTTGCTTTAAATACAATATAAGTACTATATGTATCAGTAATCTGTTTTGCAAAGTTTTTTGTGTACATGAATATACGTTATAAACCTGATCAGTTATCTTCTAAATAAATTAAAGCTGAATATACAAAGGCACACACGCTTTGGTATAAATATATTCCCCAGTAGCCAACAAGGATATCAATCCACTTTGTGTGTGACAAATGCCTTTGAAAACACAGATAATTGCCTTATAAATATAGCAATGACATCATCACTGGTCTACACATAGACTGTGCACAGAGCCAACCTGTGGGATGGAAGCCAGCAGATCATCCTATTACAGGCTGCCTGCAGAAAACTAGGAGAGGGGCAGATACAAGACTGGTCACCCTGCACAAGATGAGAGCAGCAGTGGCTGGTCTTTGTTACAGGAAACTCCTTCAATATGGAAACCTTTCACACTGGATTGCAGCAAAAATCTGGAAGAAATACACGAACTACACCAAGATTTAAAGATGAGATTCACATTAACATGCAGAGATACAGTGGGGATCGAAAGTTTGGGCACCCCAGCTAAAAATTTGTATTAATGTGCATAAAGAAGCCAAGGAAAGATGGAAAAACCTCCAAATTACAGATTAGACATTCTTATAATATGTCAACAAAAGTTAGATTTTATTTCCATCATTTACACTTTCAAAATAACAGAAAACAAAAAAATGGTGTCTGCAAACGTTTGAGCACCCTGCAGAATTTATAGCATGCACTGCCCCCTTTGCCAAGCTGAGACCTGCCAGTGTCATGGATTGTTCTCAATCATCGTCTGGGAAGACCAGGTGATGTCAATCTCAAAGGTTTTAAATGCCCAGACTCATCTGACCTTGCCCCAACAATCAGCACCATGGGTTCTTCTAAGCAGTTGTCTAGAAAACTGAAACTGAAAATAGTTGACGCTCACAAAGCTGGAGAAGGCTATAAGAAGATAGCAAAGCGTTTTCAGATGTCAATATCCTCTGTTCGGAATGTAATTAAGAAATGGCAGTCATCAGGAACAGTGGAAGTTAAAGCAAGATCTGGAAGACCAAGAAAAATATCAGACAGAACAGCTCGCAGGATTGTGAGAAAAACAATTCAAAACCCACGTTTGACTGCACGATCCCTCCAGAAAGATCTGGCAGACACTGGAGTTGTGGTACACTATTCCACTATAAAGAGGGACTTGTACAAATATGGTCTTCATGGAGGAGTCATCAGAAGAAAACCTCTTCTACGTCCTCACCACAAAAAGCATCGTTTGAACTTTGCAAATGAACATATAGACAAGCCTGATGCATTTTGGAAACAAGTTCTGTGGACCGATGAGGTTAAAATGGAACTTTTTGGCCGGAATGAGCAAAGGTACGTTTGGAGAAGAAGGGGCACAGAATTGAATGAAAAGAACCTCTGTCCAACTGTTAAGCATGGGGTTGGATCAATCATGCTTTGGTTTGTTGTGTTGCAGCCAGTGTCACAGGGAACATCTCACGAGTAGAAGGAAAAATGGATTCAATAAAATTTCAGCAAATATTGGATGGTAACTTGATGCCATCTGTGAAAAAGCTGAAGTTAAAGAGAGGATGGCTTCTACAAATGGATAATGATCCTAAACACGCCTCGAAATCCACGGGGGATTACATCAAGAGGTGTAAACTGAAGGTTTTGCCATGGCCTTCACAATCTCCTGACCTCAACATAATTGAAAATCTATGGATAGACCTTAAAAGAGCAGTGCGTGACAGACAGCCCAGAAATCTCAAAGAACTGGAAGACTTTTGTAAGGAAGAATGGGCAAAGATACCTCAAACAAGAATTGAAAGACTCTTGGCTGGCTACAAAAAGCGTTTACAAGCTGTGCTACTTGACAGAGGGGGCAGTACAAGATATTAACTCTGCAGGGTGCCCAAACTTTTGCAGACGCCATTTTTTTGTTTTCTGTTATTTTGAAAGTGTAAATGATGGAAATAAAATCTAACTTTTGTTGACATATTATAAGAATGTCTAATCTGTAATTTGATGCCTTTTGTAAATTTTTCCATCTTTCCTTGGCTTCTTTATGCACATTAATACAAATTTTTAGCTGGGGTGCCCAAACTTTCGATCCCCACTGTACATGCTGATGTAAAATTAAGGAAAAGGTGGGGAATACAGTTTACACTTTAAGTAAGAATACACGTGTCCCTTGTATGTAGGCAGTATTGGAATTCAGCTTTAAAAATGTTTTTGTTACTTTGTATTAGTCCTGAAAGGAAACTTCATTGTTCTATCAGGCTGGTTAGACTGATTGCATGTGATGCTTGAAATGATAACATTGCTTGCTAACATGAGGCCATTTTATAGGGAACTGTAAACATTGCATGGCTTCTTTATCACAATGACTTTCACCAGAAGTACAGTGTTTCCCCACAACCATGATTCAAGTTTTTTCTCTGTAGCTTTCTTACTACTACAGGCAAGAATCGAATTGCTGCAGAATCAGACATAAAATACATTGACATGTAACTCATTTACTGCTTTCTAAGCAAAAATACCAGTAATACCCTCAAAATACACACTTGGTGGTAGGACTGGGTTCTCTCCATACACAAAAGGTGTGCTTTCTTCCCAATGATTGAAAGCCAAAGCCAGTGGTAGTATCTGTATAGGGCAAGGACATTGATTGGCTGTTACCTGGTAAAGCCTCTATCTAACACAGATTCCACCCGGGTACAGCCTGGACCTGAAAGTATCAAGTGGCTTAAACAAGAAGGGTGCCAGTTCCTTCTATCAAATGATTATTACAGGGAGCACAATGGCACAGTTGCATAGGGAGCAGTACGAGAACGCAAGGTAGATCAAACTGTATTATGGGTTTAGGTCAGCTTTAGGAAAAACACCTAGATAAATCATGCTTACGCTCCCTGGCTTATTTAGTAATTGTATTTCACCATCATTCAGAAAGCTACTTGAAGTGATGAGGTAATGCACAAATCTCTGAAAGACGTTCCTTCATGATTAAATAAGACACTCATATCAAAGTAGTATTAAACCTTCAGAATTTTATCTCTGCACATTAAATTGATACTAAATGATATTATTTTTGTTAAAAGTACAAATATTTTATACTTATCCACTCTGTGAAACAATATTGCACAGGACAGTGTCTTACCTCCTTTTTGGCAGTCCCCCGCCGGCACTGTCTGCTTCTCTTTCCTCTAGATTCCTTCTCAGAAAGCTAGGGAGGCACCCATGCACATGCGCTGTGAGCATCCATTGACACATGCAGTGCTAGTAGGTTATGTCCCCACTCCCTCCTCAGAAGTGTTTGACTGACAGCAGTATCTACTGTGAGACTAGTTAGTAAGAGGAGTGGTGC